CTGTAGTAAGTATTCACTAGGTAAAAGTCTAAAGTTCATCATATTTTTAAATCTCCATCTTTAATATAGGTATCATTGATTCTTCAAAGGTGTAATTTGATAATTCTAGCTTATTTAGATAATTTAGGCTATACATATGGCAGTGTTTTGTTTGTTTGTTAAAGCTCTATGTAAATTTATTAGAATCAAATTTAAAGGCCCTTTAACATTTAAACTTTATGTTATGGCTTGTAGCCGGTTTTTTAAGTAAACATGTATTTTATTAAACTAAGAGCACCTAGTAGAAATTCTCATTTACAGGATGATGTAAGCCTGAATAAAGAAATGTAATGAATGATTGAAAAGTAGTCGTGAAAAAATAAATAAAATTATAGTTTCCAAAATTCAAAATGTAAGTTTACTTGGAAATAGTTTTTTTATTAAAGATTTAATCTGTAGTTTTATTGCTGACTGTTAATGAATAAAAACTTGTAATAACCTATGTAATAACTTCTACAGTTGTACTAGTGTGGGCCAATTTATGTGAATTAGTGCATTCTTCAGTGTTGAATCAAAGATACTTGAAAGTTTGAGCAAATATTTCACTTTATGAGTTATACAGAGGTAAATAACACAGAGATAATTTTATGAATATATAGAGAAATGCTTAAAAACAATTCATTCATTGTAAACTTAAAGAGTTTTTGGCTTTTAATTTTGAGTTTGTTACTCCATGCACTTGAAGACACTGAATGATTAATACATGAAAATATTCAAATGAGCATTGAGCCTACTTTACCCTCCCTCACAAAGTTTCATTTTTTCTATGACTTATGCATTCAAAATTTTGTTGAAAGGATGAATTCTAAGCTCTTTAATTGTAAGTTAAGATTTGTATGAATGTACCTAAAGAGAAGGTGTTTTGAGCTAATTTAACAAAAATATTTATTAGAAGAATTGTTAAATCTATGAATTAAAGTGAAAGACTGTTTGATAAATATAATGGCTTACTGGTATAGAAATGAACTAATGGCCATTGGAAAATTACATGTAATTTTTAACTCTAGTGTACAAGCTTCATACTGTTTAAAGTCAGGAATTGATGACTGATAAGATTTATGTTTATGAGTTGAGTTTACAGACCAGGTTTTTTTTGTAATTTGAATGTTAAATGGTTCATAATTGACTAAAATATTGTCACAAATTAAAACAAAACGGTTTGTTAATGCCTTCAAGCTTGCTGCTAAATAATGTATTCCTGCTTTTGAAGGAGATGGCACATGTATGTTAGGAGTCATTCAGGTACGAATCTAAGCTTCTGTGCAGACACTTGAATATTTAAGTATTCCAGCAATCTTATTCAGTTAAGGAAAGAATGAAAAATTCACCATATGTGAAAAAACGTTTTCCAACAAAAACTAACCATAAATTCTACATGGGATAGTTGCTTTGTTTCTCTTAATATTTTATTTTTTTATTTTAACCCTAGAATAATTAATGGGCCCCATGGACCCCATTAGCTTTTTAAACTACTTATGAAGTACACTGTTGTGGGTCTACGATTTATTATTGTATTACGACATAGTCCCTAATAACATAAAAAGTTGAAGAATAATACACCAATATTGTAATTAATACTGTCAATTAATTCTGAAGTGATGAATGATGAAAGACAATAGACCCTTAGAATTCCAAATGTACATGTCTTTAAAAACCATTGTCTATGAGCAGAAATAATAAAACACAGGTACACATAGCTTTTTGTGTTTATACTCACCCTTGTACACACTTTCCCTATGAAATATTTAGATTGAGTAATCTAATTCTAACTAGCTTAAGCATTAAGTTATATTAACTTATATAAGGACATAATGTTTGCCTAACACCATACAGTTTCAACATTATTAGGTACCTTGAAACCAGCTGATGTAAAAAAAAAACTAGCAGTATTTAAATAACAAATCTGAACTTTTACTCATGATAAAAAAGTTGTGAAACATATCCTTGGTTTTTATGTCATGTTTGTATATGCAATCTTTCCTGGAACCTCTTTCACCTAGGTTTTTTTTTAAGTTTTGTTCAGTTTTTGTTTCTTTTTTTTTTACTTACTGTAATTTTCAATTTATTATATACAAATCAACTTTATATTTTTGTTATAAAATTACTGCAAGTTTGTTAACCTCTAGTACTCATATTAAATGTAAAACTCAGTTCCCAGTGGTTATTATATACTACCTGTATGTAACTTGTTATTTGTTATTTAAAATAGTTTTATTTGAACATGTTTCATGAACTGTATTATACCTGAATAGAGTCCAGTATCTAACAATATATAAATAGATAAATACAAACATTGGAGTACAACTAATTGCAATCAGTTACAATACTCTGAGTTGTTGAAGTATATTAACACCATTAGCTTCTTGAAAGTCTTTATGAAACCTGGTGAACTGTCATTTGTACACACTAATTAAGAGCAGTTTGTAATATCTTGTTATATCAGAGACTGATAAAAAAACTTCTATTAATTCCAAATTGTAGTGTAGGTAGAGTTGAAAATGATGTTATGGTGTTCAACAAACTATGGTTATCTTTCAAGATTAAATTGAGAAAAAAGAACAATTTTGTAATAGTCCTTATGTGCAGTTGGGTGAGGTTTTTATAACAGTTGTGATGTGAAGTTAAATGAGTACTTGGCAGTAGTTCTAATGTGCAGTTAAATGGGAAACCGGTGGATTTGTTGAAAGATAATTTGTAAAGGTTTTGATGTTCTAGAAAACTATGATTAACTTGTCTTTGGCTTTATATATTTACATTGTTGTAAAAAAATGTGATATCAGTTAGTGAAGTTGTAACATACTTCTACATTTGGTGTGTTTCTGCTTAGCATTGCAGCTTCTTGAGAAAATAAAGAAATTTAAAAATTAATTTGAGTCATGATTTTAACTTAAAACTAGTGCAGACACAATCTAAATACGTTATTGCTGAAACAGCTAACAAAAACGTTAAAAAAAGGTACTGTTATTAATTAGAGTTTTTAATAAACTGAGTTATTTGGTTTGTGAGGTTTATGAGAATCTGTATTACTGTTAATTCTTAAATTTCTTTTTATTAATAAGGATTTCTCATAAATGGATTTCTTGATTTCCTGTACTAATAAAAATCTTACAAGCTAATTATATGATTTAGTTCTTTAATAATAATGTCTCACCAGCTCATTAATGACAGTTTTCAGAAAATTATTATATTAATGACAATACTTCACTGTCTGTTTTATTCAGTCTTTTAATGATACTTTTGGAATTCTATGGAATTGAACAATACATTTGTTAACAAAAAATCATTCTATTTTTTAACATACTCTTGCCTTAGGTACTGAGAGTTTTAGGATTTTTCATGCAATGCAATCATTATTATTTCTCATATACTTATAGTTTGATGGAAATTAACATTCAGTTATTTTCAATAAACAAACTTGGTTAGTGTTTCAAATGAACATATACAAATGTGAAATGTGTTGGAGATGAAAGTGAAAAACGAACATCTTAAGCACCCAACAGGATTACTGACTCTCGGAACAGCACCCCCCTTGTTGTTTTTTTTAATCTTAAATTATAATAATTATCACATATAGAAACTTATTCTTTCAAACTGTCAACTAAAATAAGATAAAAACTAAAAACCAACTTTTATAAGAAAATTATTTAGAATATACAGCATTAAAAATGTCCTTTAGCCTCTTAATTATAATGTGAAGAGACTTCAATATAAGAAGTTTAATGGTAAATGCCATGTTTGAATTTAAAACACACTGAACTGATGTGGGAGTGAAAAAACATACTACCTACTTCTTTATCTTTTAGTTTATAAAAGTGAATGTTTCTCATCAATATATTATATAGAAAATTTGCACAAATGTTGAACATATAGTTTGTAGATAACCAGCTTTGAATTGAAGCTAACTTATTATTTTGCAAGTCACATTGTCTACGGTCATTCCTCCTTTCGTATTTTTGAACATTCCCATGAAACATGTTTCTAGAAAATTCCTTAGACTTATAAATATTGTGTGTTCTTTAATTTCATTGCTCATGCAGTGTTTAGAAATACCTTGATGAAGACTTTTAATTCCCCATTTTGCTTAATGAGGTGACCACTCTGAGATATTTGACTGTACTCAAGGACACATATAATGTTTGATTCTCTCAGTCTTTTCCAGATTTTGTTCATAGAGATCTCTTGAACATTTTATAAAAAAATGTAATAATCCTTTGTTGGATAAACATGCTTACTTATTGAATTTATTGTATTGTGTGCTTTCAATAGATAAAGGTCTTTCTAATAAGTGAGACTACACTTATCATTCACACAATGTTTTATTATGTTTAAATAAATAAGTATATTTTTGTGAACTTAAATTTCTGTCCAGCCTCATTCCTAGATTATGTTAGGTCAGAATTCAATAACTTCATAATACATTTACTTCTGAACTTCTTGATAGAGCAATTACTATTCCTAACTGTAAGTTATCAGTGTATTTGTGAATACCAAAGAGTAAGGTTAAAAATGATATCATGACTATAATTTGTTTGTATTTTTGGCATGTATATTTTACTGTGCTATTTTTGTACCTTCATAGAATATAAGTTTGAACATTTTCAGAAAATTTGAAATTTTTTGACCCAATTTCAAATGTGCAACAGGTAATTGCATTTCTGTGAGAAAGCTATTTAGTGCTGACCATATTGAGTCCAAGAACAGTGGATTGTATGAATGCATGTTCAGAAAGAATTCACATTACAGTGGATCATTGCCATGTGCTGCAGTGATTGAACTAATGCATGAAATGTTTTTTGTCCAGACAGCAGGCTGCATTTGTTGAAACAGTTATATATCCAAGTGCTGGTATAGTCCAAATACTAATCTGTAACTATGAATACTTGGGTATTCAACTTCCCATTGAAATGGTCATTGGCATGACAAATGAACTAGAAGTGACTGGAGCTAGTTGTAAAACTGAAGTTGCTTCCTTCACACCATATCTAAGAACTGAATGCATTTCTGTCAAAATGTGAAATCACTGTTTGAGTATTGTACAAGCAATTTGGACTTACAGCATCTAGAATTCTGTGAGTTACTGGTTAAATATGCCAGTTTGTATGTAGGATCAGATGTCCATTTGAGTCAGACAATGGTAAAAGGCTATCACAAATACAGAAGTAACAAACGTTATATCTGACAACCACATTACCTGTTTCCCTGGAAAACTTAATGATGAGATCCAGCAGATGTTGATGGATGGAGTAACAGAATCTTCAGAGTGTTTGTTTGTCCCCAGTAGTGGTTGTCAGAAAAAAAGTAAGATATTATGTGAATTCTAGGGGAGTAAAAGCATTTCTCTGCATTTATGATTTTTCACTGCTATGTGTGGACACATTAGAGGGTTCCTGTTGATTTAGCACATAAGACATGGTTTCCGTATAATGGAAAATCCATCTGGATGATGAGATCCAGCAGATGTTGAAGGATGGAGTAACAGAATCTCCAGAGTGCTTGTTTGTCCCCAGTGGTGCTTTTCAGAAAAAAGTAAGATATACCAAGATATTGTGTGAATTCTAGGAGAGTGAAAGCATTTATCTGCATTTATGATTTTTCACTATTATGTGCATACTAATGTGTGGACACATTGGAGGGTCCCTGTTGATTCAGCACATGAGACATGTTCTCCTGAAGAATAGTCAACTATTCGAAAGCACTCGTGTTTTGGGTCTTATTTTAAGTTTATTAAGCTTTATATGTGATCCTTTGTGCTAACTCTTTTATCAAGACATGGCTTCCATATACTGGAAAATCCAACTGGATGATGAGAACAAATCCAATAGTACTTTCAGCACTTAACATGTCTTGTTTGGATTTCATATCATTCTATTCAACCTGTGCAATGCATCCGTCACTTCCAGGTGTATGATAGAGCTTACGCTGAGGGGAGGGCTGCATTTTATGTGCTTCAGATATTTGAAAAGATAAGCAATATGGATTGATTGTCTCACAAAATGAAAGCCTATCTATTTTGGTGTTTGTCTGAATTTTGAATTCTGCTGTTGAAAACCTGGGCATGGTTTATCAGTGGCTTAAGAAGGCTGGTTTGAAATTGAAGCCAGGAAAGTGTTTTGTTATGCATACACATGTGAAAGTTCTTGGTTACATTGTAGGTAGGGATGGAGTGCTTATGGATCCTGTGAAGATTCCAGCTATCAAAGACTGATTCCAACATGTGAAAAATTAGAGATCCACAATTACCAACATTTTGCATAGTATTTCCAATGTTTTGTATTAAGCTTCTCTTAGTTTTTAGGTGGACTGAAGACTGACCAAGCATTTTAATTTCTAAAGCACACTTTAGATGTGTCTCTTAAGTTAATGTATCTGATACAAGATGGTACATTCGTGCTGGATACTGATGCCAATAATAGTGGAATTGAAGCAGTATTATCACTGAATAAGAAATGTAATTGCATTTTCTAGTCATATGCTGACAACTCTAGATTGCATAAACTGTACAGCAAAGAAATAACTGCTTGCAAGTGTAGTACTTGTCAAGCATCATCACCAATTCTTGTATGGTAGAAAGTTTACCATTTGTGTGGATCATGCATCACTGAAATGGTTTATGAGCTTCAACTATCTGGAAAGGTTAGCAAAATGGATGGGTTGTGTCACAAGGTGATGATCAGAGCTTTTCAGTTCATGAAGATCCTGAATCTAGAAACTGTGCAGCTGTGAATACCATTGTAGTAGCAGTGACTTCCAACCATACAGTATTTAATGATTTCACTAATGGATGGACACCATAATATTTCCAGAGTGACTGAAGAACCTGGATCTAACTTGGGGCTGTATGCTCTAGAGTAAAGTGAGCATGGCTTTCAGATATAGAGGAATATAGTACAGATTTGGGTAACTGTGGAACTTATATGAGCAAGTACAAGTGCAGGAAGGTGTGCTATACCACTGAGCTGCTGTTCTTGATCTGAAATTCAGCTAGTGATCTCCAGAGTTCTTGGGCAAGAGATACTTCTGCATTTGCATAATGCAATGACTAGAGGCTGCTGGGGCATTTCCTGTACTTGTGCTAATATGTAAGTATTTTTTCTAGCTTCATTTGCTTTGAGGGGCAGTGCAAACACTGTATTATGTGTACTGCTTGGAGTAAAAGTCAGACAAACCAAGGAAAGCTTAAGTGGAGAGGTATTGGTTATTCATTGTAGAAAATAACCATGGATGTAACTGGTCCTCCCCTAACAATTAAACAAGGTAATCAGAATATGCTGGTTGTTATTAATTACTCCACCAAGTGTGCCAACATTTGTTTGCTGGTTCATATATTTATGTAGTTTGTTGCTAATGTGTTGGATGAACACTTGACATGATTTGGAACAACTGAACAATCGACATGGACCATGGAGGTAACTTAAACACCTAGTTGTTTCCATTGCACTTAAGGATTTGGATGGTGAATATGTTGCATTTTTTATCATCCACAGACAGATGGTTTAGCAGATTGGATATTAAAGACTATCAAGCATATATTTGCAAACTTGGTAATCCTGATAAAACTTACTGGGATGAACACTTTCCATGCATCATTATGACTTATCATGCAACAGTGCAAAGATTGACAAGTTGTCAAATATACTGATGTCTGGCTAAGTAATACTGCTCCCAGTAGATGTAATGTATAATATTTCCAAGTTCATATAATGCTATAGTATCCACAGGAATATTGGAGAAGTGGGGGCCTGCATTGTGCAATACACTTGAATTTACATATCAGCTGTTAGGGAAGCCTCCACAGCAGAGTATTTATGACAAGAAAGTGAAAAAATGAAGGTTTAAACATGGATATGGCTTATGTACATGTCTGCTGC